TTGGCTACAATCAGATGAAGAAAAGCTACCCGATAGCAACCTAAGCAAGTTGTGCTTCTGGTTTTCTGGTTATTTGGCTATAACTTTTTCATGAAATACAGATAATTGAACAAACGTTGTTGCATTACATTCTTGATTAAATTATCTTTCCATTGATATATAATTTTATGGTACTACTCCACAAAAAGTGGTGTTGTTAGCCATCAAACTCAAAAATACACTTTTCCCAAAAGGTTTTCACAATTTTGGCTACTACTATAGAGGTGCTGGAAAACAGCTGCCCTGATTGCCAAGTCCAGAAGAGACCTGTTGTTATGTTCATACATTAAGAATTCCTTGCCCTGCCCTTGTTAAGAATTCCTTGCCCTGCCCTTGTTTTGGAGAAAGAGAATTAACCATGACTATTTGTCTTGTCAAATTCTTGGATTACACAGTTGATCCAGTAGCCTGGGCACGCTTAAGTCAGTGGTCTGCCATTTTCAATATCCTCTGACTATGTTCCCTGAGTTCCCTATGAATGTGAAGATGGGGGATTCTGAATGTGAGACAGGTGATTCAGGAAAAAGGAAGTAAGGATTTCTGTTTTCTTTCGTAGCTTTTTCTGGAGGCCCCTAGTAGAAGAAATGAATTTCATGCAATTGGGTCTAGGGATGCAAAGCCAACATCCCAAAAGCTATAGGACAATTAAAACCAGTCCCAGGGGGAAATTAGCAGGAAATATTCAGATGACTGTCATGAAGGATCCTTTATTTCTTTGCAGTGTGCTGACAAGAAATGAGTCTGATAGTCCAGTTTCAACTAACACATTTTATTAAAAAGCAAAAGCTTTTGTAAGCTGTAAACTTCATCAATAAAAGGCAAAAGATTTTCATGATCTGAAGAGAAACAGGAGATGCATAGAGTGGTTAAATTGATGAAGAATTTAAAGCTTATTAAAATTTATGTTTTTTAATAAAATACATTAGTTGTAAGGACTCCTTCCGATTTGTCTGCAGTAAACTAACACTGCTATCCAAAGTTATGTCTCTGCTTCCATTCTGTAATAATACTTCTTAAATATATACATATGTTATATATGTTATGTATCTAGTATATAATATAAATGCATATAAAACATTTTAAAACAAGGAAATAATGAACCAACAATAAAGGAATAGGCAGAAACGCCAAAACCTTTCTGAGAACAAAGAAAGAGGGGCTTCAATCACCAAATGTTTGAGCAGAGAGCCATCTTCAAGGCTCTTTGAAAGTGTGGGGGTTTAGGGAGAAACCTGATTCCAGAGGGCAGAAGCTGCTACTTTATCTCTGTTTGCTTAGACTCTACAGATTATTGATTGCTGGCTCTGGTACATAGATGTCAGCCTAATGTAACAAACACTTCTCACAAATCCTTACTTAATTACCTTAATCCTTTTTTTTTTCTTACTTCAATATGGGGTTCTGACCTTAGCAGCATACATTTAAATTGCATCTAAAAAGGAGAAAACTGGAGAACAATTGATGACAAAATCATTACTTGCATTGGTATAACTCTTTCACCTGGGGATATAGCCATGTAGACAACCCAGGACTTAGTCAGAGAGAGAGTGAGTGTCGAGGCCCAAGCAGTGGGGTGAGCATCAATGAGACACATTTTTTTCTCCTGCCTGCTACAAGCCATGAAAACACAAATTTACAACATGTGTTTTTAATTTATGACTAAAAACTGTTGTAAATTTTTTTTCAATGTAATACATTTGATACAGAGTTTAGTTTGATAAATTTTAGTTTGATAAATTTCACTTTTATACTTAAGGGCTCTATTATCTTCCCTGCCATTAATCCCTTTCCAAATATACAGAAGAGGAGAAAGAGTCCAATAATAACCTTGCATTTAGGAACTGGAATAGGATTGGGAAAGCTCAGCAAATGGAGTTTATCTTTCTGACTGAAAAGCCAACTCCAAATCACCAGCTCTCAAAAGTGACAACTCAGAGCATCAAATTAAGTTTAGCTCATTCACAATATAACATCATACTAGGCAACTACTTTAAAAGAGACAGTAAGAGTCTCCCAGCTTTATTTTATAAATGATAACATTTTATAATCAGCATACTGGAAAAGTTTTGCCTGCATTTATTTCTGAATACTTCAAGCAGTAATGAACCAAATTATTACTTAATTGAATACCACACTGGAATATAACAAGAAAAAAATCAGGATTTTTTACACATAACATAGGGGCAGTTTCAATCATTAATGAAACAGAGTTGCAGTTTATTAATCCTATAGAACAGAGCTCCCTAACCTTTCCGGCTTTGCTCACCAGCGGGGAGGAGAGGGGATGGTTCTGCATGAGCGGCTGGCAAGTATGTATGCAGCTCCATTTGATTGAATGTAGTGCACGCACGCATGCTACTTATGCAAATGAAATGCATGTGCATATCCTTGCCCACTACTTGCACAAGTGGGGATGTGCATGCACGCGCTCACCTGCCATTTCCATGGCTCAGTTGCAAATAGCTCACGAGTTACTAGTGGGCCATGGCTCAGAGGTTGGGGACCCCTGCTATAGAATATCTGTTATTTTCTGTAACCAATATATATAAATGGATAACAGAAATATAGAAAAGTTTAGCTAATATAGTAGATTTCTTTTCCTTCATTATTATCACAGTCCACTTAAACTGAAAAGTCTGCTTGGATAATGTTTAATAGTCTTTTCATATAGCATATCATTAATTATATATTATATAGCAGTGCAAAAACATCTCAGTTTGAAATTATGTATTACATATGTCTTTCTCTCTTTTTCACATCAAATGATTTCCTGAGGCAGAAATAAACTTTAGTAGATTCTAAATCATCATATTGGGTCCAAGTAAGTTTAATTTTGTTAAAAGATTAAAATCAGCTATTAATCTTTATTTACTGACACAAATCAGACATGTGAACTAAGCCATCAACTTCTCAATAGAAGAATCCATAATACTGAAGTTAAATAGATATTTCTGTTTGAACTGCTAAGTCATCAATATAGGACACTCATAATACATTCATTCTTTATTGTCAGCAATACCAAATTTGCAGAAAATTGAGGGGGATGCTATGAAAAGCAGTATCAGTTATCCCATTTCAAGTTAAGTTTTTGGAATAATAAAGATTGTATTACATGATACATTTTTGCCTGAAACCAGACATTAAATTATTTCAGGCATAACAAATAAATTGCTCCATAACAGTTTATCATTACTAAAGATAATTGCTGGTTTAAGTATAAAGACAACACTAATGAGATTAAGTTATTATTCTTTTAATTTCTCCCATAACAATCTCTATGCACATTAGGGAACAAAAGCATAATAAAATCCAAAAGAAAACAGAGAAAGGAACATCCAGCATCAACTATAACATTCTCTTAGAAAAGTTGGATTTAAAATCCTTGGCTTTGCATTAGAAATATAACTGGAGGCCTTTATTTTAGCTCCATCCCTCTCCAACTTCATTAAGAATGGTTTAAGATTTTGACTTACAAATATGTATATACAGAAGGAGAGATTTATTTAGATATCTGGCCTCTGGTCCCAAGCCATTCCATCTTAAAAGGCTGTTCCAACTATCAGGAATAATCCTGGATATGTACTGGGACCCAATGATATCCCTGACTGAAGAATGTCTTAATTGCTACATCTGCCTAAACTAAAAATAAAATAAAATGAAATATTAGTTTAAAAAAATCCAAACTCATGAATTTCTTACTGCTCATAACAAGTTTATTGACTTTCCACAGGATATTGTAATTTGCTTCCTCTCTCCTAGTATTGTGCTTTTTACTTTTGAGAAACATATTTAGGATATTAAGACTCTAATATCCTGGTTACTCTAACATTAGGAATCAAGAACAACAAAGATCCTATTTCACTGCAGGCTGATAAGAAACTCTAAAAATATGGATGTCAAATATTGTACAATGGGGTAGTTGGAATATTAATTCTCAGTATGATACTGAGGGTACAATTCGGGGGACATGCCTAAAGTTTTTGTGAAAAAACATGAGATTGAAAAGGATGGAAGAACTATAAACTGTACTTAAACTATCAATCTTCAAGAACAAATTTCCAAGATATCCAAGCCTGCCTAAAATAGAAATGGCATTAATTGCATCTACCTACTGAACTGCCATACGTAGGAACCATGAAGACCAACACGAGAAAAATTAAAGCACAGAGATATAATCCAACAGAGAAGATTGGAATTTAGTAGAATCAACTCAATCTTCTAGTTTTACAAATGTTCTTCTTTGAACTGAGAGCAAATTTCAACATTATAAAGAAAACAAAATAAAAATGAATAACAGGACAATAATGTTTAACTTGAATCCTCTTTATGTTAATATAAAAACAATTTTGGTTACTGGTATGAGTGTCAGATTCTTTCACATATTAATTGCCATTACTGATTTGGTTACTGTTTTTTACATACAGAGGTGTAAAATTTTATGGGGTTTTTAGTGTTATTTTGCATGACTGAAGTGAACATTTCCCAATTAGGAAGAACTGTATATCAACATGTTTGATATATGATAATGCATTTCTACATTACAAATGAATCAATGGTTCTGTAAGTTTGACTGTAATACATTGCTACTTTACATGGAGTGAGAGAAAAAAATTAATATATGGATGCACATGCATATATGTATATATATATAAATATATGAAGTGGGGAAAATTTATTGCTCAATGCCTCATTAATTTGCCCATTCTTCAAATTATTAAACAATCTCATTGTAAATGATCTACTAATCACATGACAAAGTCACGTTCTATGCACCTTCAGCAAATTAATAATCAAGGAAGGAATGCTAGACAACAAAGATAGAGATAAATAGATCACTGTTGGAATTATTGATGCAATTTCAAAAATTTCCACATATGAATTCATTCACTTTATTTGTAACAGCTATTTAAAGCAATGTACCTACCCAAGCAAGAAGCAAAACAACCTGTATTTCCACCTACCTGTGCTAGTGCGATATGTGCCTGTATGTGCTGGTTGAAGAGGGTCTCCCTGACTCTGGCTGAGACTCCTCATAGGGGGCTTCTGATACACTCTGTCCTCATAAATAGGATCTATGTGATGCTCTGGAGATTGTAGTGCCCTGAGTTCTGAGCCCAGGTGGCTATGTTGACTTGTGTATGAAACCCGGGATCCAGCTGCAAAATAAAGTGATATCAGAAACTTTATGAGAAAAAAAAAACCCAAGAGCATCTACAAAGAGAGATTAATATTAATAATTATTAAAAACTTTTGGTAAGTAAAAGCAAAGAATTTTAAAAAACCCAAACCAATTAAAATAATAAACAAATTGGTATTTTCCATATAAGAAGAAAACATAACACAAAAGGGCAGTAATAGTTCAGGTTTATTAGCTTACAGTTATGCAGACCTAAACTTTCAAAGAAACAAAGCAGTTCAGGAGTGGCTACACATCAGAGTTTTTCCTCTATTTTTCATCAACTGAATGTACACTGAAGAACTTTTTTTAAAAAGATACTTGGGAGAAAGGTTAGCTTTTAGCATCATTCATGTGGTACGATAATCAAGTCTAAGGATTTATTTTTTTGTTAAAAAAAGTGATCAAAAACTGGAAGTGCCACTCAATGTAAAAGAAAACTGGAAATTGATAAAATAGAGTTAATCGTGATCAGCAAGGACATAGCCCATTTCATTCTGTTTGTTGCACAAATATGGCTTTTTTACATTTGCAATTAGGTTTATTTCCCCCCCTCTCCAAAACAGAATAGATTTCTACCAATGAAACCTTCTAGAAGACGAAGGAATAAACAGGCAAATGAATATCAAAATTAATGTCGATACTTTAAGTTAAACTCTGAAATCAAGCTACCTCCAATATGTTTTTCCTCTAAGACATCTCCAATTCTATTTGCATAAAGAATAAAAGAAAGGGACAAAGGCAATTCTCATTTCTTCCTCTTTCATTACATACAATTCCATTTAACATGGTTCCCCAGCCCTCTATAGAAGCTTCTCATTTAGCACAGATAGGTGCAAGAACAAGAACAAAAGCAAAACAAACATTATGTTTTCTATCCTCCAGGGAAAGTGCGTTGTGAATGAAATTCCACTTATAGAAAGTCTGGATCCAAGTCATTAAACAGTGATGAAATGAAGCTACTACAGGGACATGGGGCTAGCTAAACAAGTTTAAGAATATCTTCCACAGTAGATAAAGAATGGGGAAAAGAGATTTCTGCTGGGGAATGCTTTGGTATAAATGAAATCAGTGGACTTTGACTCAACTAATTATATGATCATCTGTTAGCATAATCTAGGAGAAACAATCTTTCATTTATGGATTCTTCCATAAAAGAATCACTTTAGGGAAAGAAATTCCACTCCACTCATGATAGAGGGTTAAGGCTATCTTTCGATGTAAGGCTTAAGTCTTCTGCAGCAAACAGAACTCCTGGCTATAATCTCTCATCAAGAAAGTTTTCTCAATTTGTTTTGAGTTGCATTTTTGGAGAGAGGTTCTATATCCTATAGTTATAATAAACTTACACAAAGGATATAAATATATATCTTGATATACAATACAGGGGCAAAAGCCCTTCTTTAACAGCCTACAGATAAGAATAGGGCATACTGCAATTTCTTAAGGGAAAGAAAAATGCTATGTTTATGCACTTTTGTTGGCTAATTGAAAGAAACAATACTTAGCCATTAAAAGGAAATAGTCATTCTGGTCAATACCTCTATCAAGATCTCAAAGAGGGGGGCTGTGGTCTTACTGATTCTAGTAGATCTTTCAGTAGCATTCAACCCCATTGTCTTCTGCATCACCTGCAGAGGTTCGGACTTGGGGATATTGTTTTAGGGTGGTTACACTCTTAACTTAATAACCTCGATGCTGAATTCCTTAGAACGACTTCCTCGAGATTCAGTGTTTTCCCTCAAATTATTTAACATTCAAATGAAAGTACTGGGAAGATCATTTGCCACTTCAGGATGAGTTTTCATCAATATGTTCACAACATCCAGTCATTCATCCCAACCCCGAGTGGAACCAAAGATACCACTGAAGTTCTGAATAAAACAAGTACCTAAAACCCACTGGGATTTGAATGGTGGTAAAACAAGCTCAGATTAAATCTACTTTGAATGGAATCACAATTCTCCTGAAAGAGTTGGTTTGTGACTTGTGAATCTTAAACAGCACATGGAAACCATATTCAGGGTAGTCTTTGCTCAGCTTGGCTAACGTAGCAGTTACCACCCTATCCGGATCAAGATAGTAACTCATGTCCTGATCATTGCCCAACTGGACTACTACTACATTGTGTTTTATGTGAATCTGCCTTTGGAGATGACCTACTATTTGATCTAGAAATGGCAATTGATACAAAACTTTTGATTGGTCAACTGCATCAGGTGAGAAAATGCTTCCAAGTTTCAAGAATGTCTGTTGGAAGAGTGTCTGTTCCCTTTTTACTGTTGCTCTTTTCTGTTTTCATTCTTACATTAACCAACAGGAACTGGTGATTCATATACACAAAACAAAAAAGGCAATAGTCTTCTCTCTTTCTGCCTATACAGCTTTGCATGCTTCCAAAGCAGTCCCCAGCAAGCAAATGAAACTTCTGTAAATTTATTAAAATAAAAATTAAAGCCAGGTACCCCTCATTATTTTAATGCCCACGATTAGATACTTATTTAAGTTTATTTAACTTTGGATCAGAATCCAACAATGTAACCCATGTACCTCACTAGGGGCTATAGAACATGCTATGAGGCTCAGTAATGGATACAGTTGAAAGCAGCTGCCTGGCAGAAAGACACTTCAATAAGGTGATTTCAAATTGTATTCTGCAATTTTTATGCATAGGTTTTTAAGCATAAATTCCTTGAAATTTATATTGGACTATCTCCTTAAATGTCATGGAGGGCAGTGGATTTATTTTTACAAATAGATTAACAGCTTAATTGTGCTGTCCAGCCAGTGTATGAAAATTGGATGCATAGATAGCAATTGTGAGCTGTCCCCTTAAGGGAATGCATCATGGTAAATGTAGTCAAGGTATCTTGGGAAATTTAGTCCATATCACATGACGACATCTGTAATCCTGATTGGTCACTAAATTGACCCTCGAGGGGTTGGGGGAGTTTTCCTCATTCTTGGCTGAACTACAGAAAAGGAATTTCAGCAGGACTCTGTAAGATTTTCTGAGTCTTAAAGCAGCCCATAGCAACATCTGGTGCTCAAGGAGAAATTTCCCAGAGTTTCCAACATGTGTTTGCAAATTCTTATATGACTTTTTTACACAGTTTCACAAAAATTATATAAAGTTTCTCAAATTTAATCTGAGTGTTTATCCAATGATAATCCCTGTTGCAACTATTGTGGACAATTTAATCAATTTAATTCAAGGTTCCAAGATTAACTGCAACCTAACATGGGTGTAGCAACAGCATCTTCCAGACCCTCTGCTGCCACCTTGTGGAGCAAGCTACACTAACAGGCATATTTCTGCGTTTAGCCTCCAAGTCTCCAGATTTCACTACTCAACCTCTACTGCCACCTTGTGGAGCAAGCAACACTAACAGGCATATTTCTGCGTTTAGCCTCCAAGTCTTCAGACTTCACTACACAAACTTTACTGCCACCTTGTGAAGCAAACACACAACACACCCTAGAAACATCCATACTGTGTGCTGTGCTAGCACTGCAGACTCTGCAGCGCCATCTACGTGCTCAAGTATTAAATCCAGCAGCAATTCTACTTTGTTACCTGCTTGCAGCGCACCCTAGTACAAAAAAAGGGAATTGCACGGAAAACCACTAAATTTTCCAAAAGTCACCTTTTGCCAATTTTGAAACATGGCAACTGCTTCAGCCATGACAGATGTCTCTGATGTACCTGGGGACTCCAACGCTCCACCCACCCTTGATGTAAATGTGGAGCCTGATTCCCAACAACCATCTTTAGATGTCCAACCCTCTGGAGAAGCCACGATACCTCTGAAAGCCTACAACCTCACAAAGAGTAAGAAGCTTACCGAACCCATGGAAGAACACTTGAGGAACGAATGGAAGAAGCAATATCGCCACTATGCAGACTCATGGGTGGAGCTTGAGAAGATCTGTGATGCCCCAAAACACAAACTGCCCCCCGAGAAACTCCACACATTGCTAGTTGATCTAGATGCCCTTCTTGCACGGTGGAGACACAGCGAAGACAATCTCAAGTCCATCCAGTCAAGACTGGGTGACCCCAAACTCCTAACACACGTCCAATGCTTTGAGGAGTTTCACAAGGAATGCGAAGACTGTGTCGAGGAAAGCAAGAGAGCCCTTCAGGCAGCGCTCCACAATGCACTTCGGCAGGAAGTAGCGTCAAGGGAGCAGGCCACATGGCTCCTCGATCAAAGAACATTAATAGTGAGTGAGTTTCAACAGACTTAGAATCTTTTGTGAAATGAGTATCCAGGAACGCATCCAACAATCGACTGTGATGTACACTGCTCAAAAAAATAAAGGGAACACTTAAACAACACAATGTAACTAGAAGTCAATCACACTTCTGTGAAATCAAACTGTCCACTTAGGTAGCAACACTGATTGACAATCAATTTCACATGCTGTTGTGCAAATGGAATAGACAACAGGTGGAAAGCACAGGCAGTTAGCAAGACATCCTCAATAACAGAGTGGTTCTGCAGGTGGTGACCACATAACACTTCTCAGTTCCTATGCTTTCTGGCTGATGGTTTGGTCACTTTTGAATGCTGGCGGTGCTTTCACTCTAGTGGTAGCATGAGACGGAGTCTACAACCCACACAAGTGGCTCAGGTAGTGCAGCTCATCCAGGATGGCACATCAATGCGAGCTGTGGCAAGAAGATTTGCTGTGCCTGTCAACGTAGTGTTCAGAGCATGGAGGCGCTACCAGGAGACAGGCCAGTACATCAGGAGATGTGGAGGAGGCCAGAGGAGGGCAACAATCCAGCATCAGGACCGCTACCTCCGCCTTTGTGCAAGGAGGGACAGGAGGAGCACTGCCAGAGCCCTGCAAAATGACCTCCAGCGGGCCACAAATGTGCATGTGGCTGCTCAAATGGTCAGAAACAGACTCCATGAGGGTGGTATGAGGGCCTGACGTCCACAGGTGGGGGTTGTGCTTACAGCCCAACAC